TTTAACAGGACTGGAAGTGTATGTCGACTGCATGAAATTCTTTCCGAAGCATTCTTGTAAGCAAAGACCCAGCGTAACAGCTGCTTTTCCAGCCTTGTATTGTGTGTATTTCACAGCAAAGCAAAGAGCATACAAAACCCTATCGTGCCAGGGCTTTACAAATGCTTATGCTTGGAAAAGATGTCTGTATTGTGCAAGGGCAAAAAAGAGATTAAGTGAATGATTGACTTAACTCTGCTTAAGTCCAGCTCTGAGCACCTCAGGGAGATGCTCTGCAGACAGCATTGTCTCCAGAGCAGCAGTGGGTGGGTAGGGATTTTTGGGCAGCACTGCCTGTCTGCTCTTGGGAAGTTTTGCTCTGCTGTTCTGGAGGGGGTGCTGAGCCAGGAGAGAGCAACACAAGAGAGCCAGGCGAGAGCTGCCAGCACCGTGCAAAACCAGGTGCTCTCAGGGGCAGTGCTCACTAGGGGTGCCTTCTGGGATTGGAAAGATATGCAAATCCCCATACGGTAGGTAATAAGTGCTTCCCAAAATTCAGTGTCTACACATACTCCATTGGTAGGGCCCAGTGGTATTTTTTTTAAGTGCAGCAATGCTTGTTTATGACATCAAACTTATCCAATTAGTGATATGGAATTTAGTCATTCATTTCTGCTTCGAAATGTTGGCATCTTCCATAGAAATATGTTGTAAGAGTTTGGAGTGAAAAATCATCCTAGAGAAATGACTGAGATGGCACAGTAACACAGGGGTGGTGCATGAGCCTTTTTTTTTTTTTCCCAGAAAAACCTTAGTAAAAAAGCACCTAGGTGAATTACAGTGTACAATTTAAAAAACTCCATCATTACACTTTTCTGATTTTTTTTTGCTTTGGAGATTTCACTCCTGTGCCACTGTTACCTCCACCCACGGCCAGTCCAGCTGTAACTCGCAGCATCACCCAGCAAAAGAGAAAGATGTGCTTCAAGGTTCCCAGCACCAGATTTCTTACCTTGAAATATGTGTTTACATATCCTATATCTCAAGATTGCGACTCGGGCACTCACAGCTTTCTGCAGATATGCAGCGTCAATGAGACCAGCGGCATCACTGTCCGCAGACAGCTGTTGTCCGAGCCTGCGGATGCAGCCAAAGACCCTCGGAGCCCTCGCAGCGCGCAGCGAGCCGTGCAGAGCGGTGCTCTCGGTGGCAGTGGCCGTGCCTGTCCGCTTGGAGTCACTGCAGCACAGCACCTGCCCGATGCCGGACCCGCTGCTGCCCCTCACCGGCACTTCCTCTCGAATTCATTAGGTGATGTGCTTGAGTTGAAACAGGGCAGCGAAAGCTACATTTTGGCAGAAAGCTGAGGAATGTCTTTTTTACTTTGCAGAGTGAAGTAAAAGCGAAATGTTTGAGGGAAAAAAAAAGAGAAAAAAAAAAAAAAAAAAAAGGAATCAGTTTGTTGCTTCCTATCTGGGGTTAGGTGTGCTTGTGAGCTGCCCCACTGAAAAGTTGTGGCTGCTCGCACGCATCCCTGTGTCTGTAGGCGTGCTCTTCGGCAGGGCTGAGACGAGAGGAAATGGGGAAAATGCAACTTTCTCAATACCAAATGAAGATCCCTCGAAATGGGCAGAGACTGACAGAGTGCAGCTGCTGGGAAGGGTACTGTCCTCAGACTGTTAGCTAAGGGCAGCTAACGGTGTGTTTTATTTCACAGAATTGACAAGGTTGGAAAAGACCTCCAATGTCACTCAGTCCAACTGTCCACCTATCACCAGTATTTCCCACTAAACCACGTCCTTCCGTACAAGACGTAAACATGAGGGGTTTAATTTTAAAACTTCCAGCTTTGGGTCACTGCTGTTACACAGCCAGCCTCACCAGTACTGGAACAGTTAAATGAGATTAAACATCAGACATTTTAAACACTTGTTATAACTGATATGAAGTATTTTAACTTGCTATTTACCAAGCCAACATTAAAGTAAGTCCTCCACAACAGTGCAGTTGGCAGAGAGAGAAAACAGCATTCCAGTTGCGACAGTATTGAAACTGCTAAATGTATTATCTTTCAGTTTGCATGACTTATAATGAATAGAGGGGACACGAATCCATTTCGGAAGAAATGCTGTGTGTGTGTTAGAGATGACATGATGCTTCCTGGGCAGGAGCAGCATAGCTGTGTCTGTCATGACACAGCTGTCCCCCATCCCTTCTCATTTCCAATCCAGACATCCATAACACACTGAAGTACCAAACAAGATGTCTACAGCACTGCTGTTGCCCCAGTTGCGACATCTCTTTTAATCTCAAGCGTTCCTCTGTAAGCAGTGACGTGTTTGCTTCTGAACAATATTCTGAGTCATCAGAGAAATGCGTATTTCGTTTGTTTTGCAAAGAATTGAAACAGAATGCAAAAGTGATGCTGAGTGGGCTGCAATTGCAGTCTGCAATTCTCTGGGCAATTCCAGAGGGATTGCGGCAGTTGTTATTTAATAGCGTTTGTTGGAATGGTGAATACGGCTTGAAACGCTGAGCAGGATTGAAGCTACTTCTCTGTGTCTCGTAACAACAAGAGGCAGCTTGAAACTAACTGCAAAATGCACATTGAATCTTGTCATTCTGAATATGCAAATTCTCTGTTTATAGATGCTACGAAATTTACAGTTAGAAAATTGCTCGGCTGTTAAAACAAAATACCTTTCAACAGCAATTGCTGCATAATTATGTGCTCACATATATTTATCGTTGCACTGATATGATTTTCTGCTTAGGAGTGATTCATTTACTTTTCTCAGGGAATGTGAAGTTGTTTTTAACACCGAAGAGCTAATGATCGGCAGCTTATTCTGCTGACAGTGGAGGATCCTGTCTTGAATGTATCAGTAAATGTGTCCCGTTACCACAAACCAGGACCACAGTATCTTGCAGTGTTTTGAGTGTAAAATAGCTCATGGTGCTGTGCAGAAATACATCAAAATGGAGACTTCCACAGATTTTATAGAGATCTGAAAACCTTTCACACACAGGTATTCAGGAAAAATGGCAAATTTTGCTCCTTTCTGGAAATGATCTCAAACATCTCCCATAAATGTGACTCTTAGCAATGCAACTGGCAATATTTAATTATATCCTCTTCTTCTTAGCTGCTTACTTGATCTCAGTGATGCTTTCCATCTGAAACTTGTCTCTGCTGAATGCCGTGCTTTCTATTATCTGTGTAATTAAAAATGAGAATACGTATTTGGCATGTATGTGGCAAAAAACGTATTTCATATGTTTTATTTAGCTACTTTCCACCTTCTCAATCCAACCCCCAGTCTGCATGCTCTCTATTTCTCCAGGAAAATATTTTCAGATGCATGACATGTCTGGAGGTGTTCTCATACTTGTAACTTCAGCCTTGTGCTGATTTTGTAAGGAGCTTGAAAGCAGAGTAGTTGAAGAATCTGAGATATTTCCAAAAAGTACAGGTCCAAACAAATAAGAACACTTTGAAGTTGATATTTAAAATGGAGATAAAGCCTTTAATAAACTTCCATAAAAGTGCAGTCACTTTTCAGAGAGCTGTTGTTGCAAAACTATATTAACTGTAATTTAGGATTGTTTCTACTATAAATCTGGTAATTTGGCTCTTTTAGAAAATGGTAACAGCTTTAAATTATCCAAATGAACTGCATAACAACATTTTTCAAGATAATTGTTGCACTGATTTTTTTATTTGCTAGATAGAACGTACTTGATGTACTCAATGTTCAACAAAATGCAACTTTAATGAATTAATGAATGGGTGAATTCATTCAATGGGTGTAAATAGACAAAAACTTCTCTTCTGCCTTATCAGAATCACTCTCAGATGTGGAAGGCAAAGAGATGGATACGATGAATTCTAGTTCGTGTCTCACAGTGAGGTAACCTGCCATTCAGTAGCAAACAGTGAGCTGCTCTCTCTTCTCACCAGTGGGAGCAGCAGCCTGGGGTTATTGCTTCCTGGAAGCGGGAGGAGGATTAACGAATGAAAGAATGGGAAATGTCCCAAAAAGGCAAAAACCCTTCTTTGGCTTTTCATGTCAGTGTGAGTATGTGGGGGAGGAATATGTAGCACAGGAATTCTTGGGGAAGGGCAGGACTAGGGTGCTCATGGAGATCTGCTGCCAGCATCCTGCAGCCCAGAGCACTCCCGTGACACTCAGAGGAACAAGTGTGCACTGATTTTGGCAGAGGATAAATGTGCCCGGAGGAAGCCATAGCTGAGTCGTGGCATTACTAGAATGCCTGCTCTGTCTGCTGCTTCATGGTGTATGGCACGTGGAACAGGAGTTACATTGTTCTTCTCCAACCAGGTTTGTAAAACATTTGTAAAATGTTGTGGGTAGGTTCATCTGTATGCAAAATCTCATGATGCTTCTCCATCTTCTGCTGCTTTGACAGGATGGACAGGGCTGTGGGATGGAGGTCTGAAAGTTGCCTAAACCTATCAAAGCACAGTGGAAAACCCTGTGCCACGACCCCTCGGTTTTTTGTTATTGTACCTGTGTTGGGCTTAGAGCCCAGTTTGTCACAGCCTAAGAGCGGGACTGCATTTTTACCAAAGCCCCCTCACTGACCGACCCAAAATGACAGACTGTCACGGAGTTGATCAGATCAATCCACGTCCGTGACAGGGGCGGCAGGCCTCTGCCCTCCCCCCCCACCCCAATCCCACAAAAATGGGAAGGAAGGAAGGGAGGAAAAGAACAGCGGCAACAATCTATGGAGGAAAACTTATTTTACTATAGTATTGGAATACAAGATAACACAATATATATACAATTTAATTGAAATTGAGATTAATAAATCAGACAAGATGAGAGAGAGAGAGAGTTCCCGGGACCGATTCAAACCTGAAAAGCTTGGAACGGCCAGGAAAGCACCCTCCTACACCCACTGCCATGCAGCAAGAGAGCGTCCCCCCCCACCCGGAAGGGCCAGATCCCGTGACTGCTGTAATGTACAGGGATAGGTAGCTGGGATTGGGGCAGTGACACTTTAATGCCCTGTGCACTACATGATGTTTTGATGTGGAATACTGAAAACATAAAAAAAACAAAAACAAAAACATAGAACCATGACATTCCACCCCTTATTCTACATCGTTACATCATGCTTAGAATATATATACATATATACAAACAAACAAAAAAATGATTAAAATGCACACATGACTATATACATATACATAGAATTAGTAACTGCGCTCCCCCGGCATCAAGTTTCCTTGTGGTACACATTGAACATCCCCATTCTTCTGCATTACCCACCAAGTGGATCCTGGTCCCTGGGCAAAAACTGTACCACGGAGAGGTTTGCCCTTTCCAGAAGCTGGAAGAACCCAAACTGCCTTTCCTAACATGTTCTTTACATGTACAACAGGGACTTTATCTCCCTCTACGGTATGTAGGGAACTGGATTGGTTAGGACCATCACGATTGATAGATCCTCTGGTATTGACCAACCAGGTGGCTTCTGCCAAATGCTTCTCCCAGTGCTTAAATGTTCCACCACCCAGTGCTTTTAGCATCGTTTTTAACAACCCATTGTATCGTTCAATTTTACCAGAGGCTGGTGCATGATAGGGAATATGGTAAATCCACTCGATACCATGATCTTTGGCCCAAGTATTTACAAGAGAATTTTTGAAATGAGTCCCATTATCTGACTCAATCCTTTCTGGGGTGCCATGTCGCCACAGGACTTGTTTCTCCAGACCCAGTATGGTGTTTCGGGCAGTAGCATGGGGTACTGCATATGTTTCAAGCCACCCAGTGGTTGCCTCCACCATAGTAAGCACATAATGCTTACCATTGCGAGATCGTGGCAAAGTGATATAATCAACCTGCCATGCCTCCCCATATTTGTACTTTTGCCATCGCCCTTCCTCCCACAGAGGTTTCATCCTCTTGGCTTGTTTGATGATGGCACATGTTTCACAGTTATGAATAACCTGTGCAATGGCATCCATAGTTAAGTCCACCCCTCGGTCTCTAGCCCATTTGTATGTTGCATCTCTCCCTTGATGACCTGAGGTCTCATGGGCCCACCGAGCCAGAAATAATTCACCCTTGTTCTGCCAGTCCAGGTCTATTTGAGCCACCTCAATTCTGGCTGCTCGGTCTACCTGATGGTTGTTTTGCTGTTCTTCAGTAGCCCGACTCTTGGGGACATGAGCATCTACATGGCGCACCTTTACAACTATAGTCTTTGTTCGGGCAGCAATGTCTTTCCACAGTTCAGCAGCCCAAATAGGTTTACCCCTTCTTTGCCAGTTATTTTGCTCCCACTGCTGTAACCACCCCCATAAGGCATTTGCCACCATCCATGAGTCAGTGTAGAGATAGAGCATTGGCCACCTCTCCCGTTCAGCAATATCTAAGGCCAGTTGGACAGCCTTTACCTCTGCAAATTGGCTTGATTCTCCTTTCCCTTCAGTGGCCTCTGCAACTTGTCGTGTGGGGCTCCACACAGCAGATTTCCATCTGCGATGCTTTCCCACAATACGACACGATCCATCTGTGAACAGGGCATATTTCTTTTCATTCTCTGGTAGTTCATTGTATGGTGGGGCTTCTTTAGCACGTGATACCTCTTCTCCTGGTGATGTTCCAAACTTTTTACCTTCAGGCCAGTCCATGATGACCTCTAGGATTCCTGGACGGCTGAGGTTCCCCATCCGTGCTCGTTGTGTAATCAGTGCAATCCACTTACTCCAAGTGGCATCAGTAGCATGATGGGTGGAGGGAACCTTTCCTTTAAACATCCAGTTCAGCACTGGCAGTCGAGGTGCCAGAAGAAGCTGTGTTTCAGTACCGACTACTTCGGAAGCAGCCCGAACCCCCTCATATGCAGCTAAGATCTCCTTCTCAGTTGGAGTGTAGCCCTCTTCCGACCCCCTGTACGCCCGACTCCAGAATCCCAAGGGTCGGAAGAGGAAGGAATGGAAAAGAAGGCATTAGCAATGTCAATGGTGGCATACCATTTGGCCGCTTTTGACTCCAGTTCATACTGGAGTTCTAACATGTCCGGCACAGCAGCACTCAGAGGGGGTGTGACTTCATTCAGGCCACGGTAGTCCACCGTCAGCCTCCATTCTCCACTGGCTTTACGCACAGGCCATATGGGGCTGTTAAAAGGCGAGTGAGTTTTGCTGATCACTCCCTGGCTCTCTAGTTGACGAATTAACTTATGAATGGGGAGCAAAGAATCCCTGTTGGTGCGGTACTGACGTCTGTGCACCGTTTTTGTAGCAATCGGTACATGTTGCTCTTTTACTCGCAGCAGCCCCACAACAGATGGATCTTCTGACAGGCCAGGCAAAACAGACAGCTGCTTAATGTTGTCTATATCCACAGCAGCTATTCCAAAGGCCCATCGATACCCCTTAGGGTCCTTGAAATGTCCCCTTCTGAGATAATCAATACCTAGTATACATGGAGCCCCTGGGCCCGTCACAATAGGATGTTTTTGCCAGTCCTTACCAGTGAGGCTTATCTCAGCCTCCAACACAGTCAATTCTTGAGAGCCCCCGGTCACTCCAGAAATATGGATTAATTCTGTCCCTTGGTGACTCGAGGGCATCAGAGTGCACTGTGCACCAGTGTCCACCAGTGCCTTATATTTCAGTGGTTCTGATGTGCCAGGCCATCGAATCCACACAGTCCAATATACTCTATTATCCCTTTCCCCCTCCTGACTGAGGGCAGGGCCCCCCTATTCATTACCTGTGGTAACTGGAGCAACTGCACTGGTGGTTGATCTGCTTTGTAATTCTTTCACCCGGGCTCGTAGTACAGGAGTAGGTTGACCGTGCCACTTCCCCATGTCTTCTCCATGGTCACGCAGGTAATACCATAAGGCAATTCGCGGTGTATTACCCCTTACTTGAGCCGGAGAGCGTTTGCTTCTAACAGCTGAGATCTTTGATGGTGCACGTGAGAAGGAAGGTTCTTTGTCTTTAGTTAGGTGGGCTTGCATACATTTCATCATCTCCTTCATCTCCTTCATATCCTTCGCTAGACTTGTTTGATTATCCTGATCTTCATCAAGCGTTTCTGATACTGCTACAGGTTTGTCGCGGTTAATCAGTTGAGACACTTGCTCCGTCATTCTTGATATAGCAGCAACGGCAGCATGAATTGGGGACAGTAATTGTTCGTAGTTTTGGAGCGTAACAATTAATTCATAAACTAAGGGCGTTCTCTGTTGTTCGTTGAATCTGTCACACGCTGACATCAGTGTAGAGGCATATTTGTCCGGCGCTGTTGTCACGATTTTCTGCCATATCTCAGGCGTTGTCCTCACTCTTTCAGGGTCGCGGTTTTGGTGTGGGTCGTTAGGAACAAAGTCAGGGTCATACAACATTTCCACCACGCCTATTTCCCTCAAATACTGGATACCCTTTTCAACTGTATCCCATTTTTTCATTGCAATCTTCAAGCCATTTTTGAAGGGATACTTTTCCTTCACGGCTGTTAACACTCGTTCCCAGAGGGAGGCAGCTTCATCCGAGCATCGACTAATTCCTCTATCAATAGCTGGATCTCTGGCAATGGCACCTAGTTGGCGAGCTTCATTACCATCCAGAGACAAGCTATGGGCCCCACTGTCCCAACAGCGAACCAACCAGGAAACAAGAGTTTCATTCGGGCGCCGTGTAAACTCCTTTCTTGAACCTTGGATTTCAGTCATCTTTAGAGGCCGGCGAGTAGTAATAGAGACTTCCTCTTCATCACTCTCTTCTGCACGTCTCTTAGTTTTCCCTTTTGCCTTTCGCGATGGTGGTGGTCCTGAGGAGGGCCCCTCGCCTGGATCTTCCTCCACCTCCTCCTCCTCTTCTTCTCTTTTTCGTTCAAGACGCGAAGACACTCGTTTCCATTTCTTGCCCTCCACAGGAGCAACCGGTATTGTTACTGGTGTCTCCTGTGATTGATTAGATTTGACTTGGGGATTTTCCCCTTTAGCTTGAACCTCAGCTCGGAAACTCTCTCTCTCCAGAATGGTATTATATAGGGCACGGTAAGCACAAGCCAAACCCCAAATAAGTTGTACCTCCTTAGATTTATGTAAGCCGCATAGTCCCTGACTCAAATACTGGCTTAGTTTCTCAGGATCCCACAGGTGTTCAAGAGTAAAATCCCATGACACTGCGGGTCCCCATGCTTCTAAGACCTTTCCTAAACCTCTCCATATTCCCTGCCAGTCATCATTCTCTAGTTTTGGAGAAGACTCCTTATTACAAATGCGTATCACAAATGCATTCAGGAGAATTGATGACACGAACAACAACATGAGTATTAATTCAAGATTCGTAAAACGTTTGACAAACCGAGAAGAAAAACCGGAGACTGGTCTGAACATCGTGTTGTTTGTAAAATTAGCTATTCCATTTGGGATGTAACTGTTTGTGAAATTAGCCATTCCATTTGGGATGTAGCTGTTTGTGAAATTAGCCATTCCTTCCGGGATGTAAATGTCAAAGTTCAAATCATACCACATTGCAAATAAGTAAAACATAGGTGTCTCCATCAGTGCCCTTAGATAGTTATATACGGATGCAATTCCAAAACACACAAGTGTGAGATGGATTATTGGCCAGCAGGTTGTGACTAACACCATTGCTTTTAATCCTTTACCCAGCACCCCCACAATAACGAGGGGGTTCATCGCTAGTGCTTGCTAAAAGAGGGTTAATGAATTGAAGCTAACAAGAGGGGGAAAAAAAAAGGAAAAAAGGCACTACTCAGACTAAGTAATGCTCAAAGTTTACAAATATCCCAGAACACTGGCAGTACGCCTAATCTTTCAAGGTCAGGTTTTCCAGCACAGAAACCTGAACTACTGATAATGCTCCCTAACGAAGCTCTCTAAGAGCAGAGAGAAAAAAAGATTCGTTCAAAAAGCTAAAAAGCAGCGAGCCCCACGTTGGGCGCCAAAATCTGTCACGGAGTTGATCAGATCAATCCACGTCCGTGACAGGGGCGGCAGGCCTCTGCCCTCCCCCCCCACCCCAATCCCACAAAAATGGGAAGGAAGGAAGGGAGGAAAAGAACAGCGGCAACAATCTATGGAGGAAAACTTATTTTACTATAGTATTGGAATACAAGATAACACTATATATATACAATTTAATTGAAATTGAGATTAATAAATCAGACAAGATGAGAGAGAGAGAGAGTTCCCGGGACCGATTCAAACCTGAAAAGCTTGGAACGGCCAGGAAAGCACCCTCCTACACCCACTGCCATGCAGCAAGAGAGCGTCCCCCCCCACCCGGAAGGGCCAGATCCCGTGACTGCTGTAATGTACAGGGATAGGTAGCTGGGATTGGGGCAGTGACACTTTAATGCCCTGTGCACTACATGATGTTTTGATGTGGAATACTGAAAACATAAAAAAAACAAAAACAAAAACATAGAACCATGACATTCCACCCCTTATTCTACATCGTTACATCATGCTTAGAATATATATACATATATACAAACAAACAAAAAAATGATTAAAATGCACACATGACTATATACATATACATAGAATTAGTAACTGCGCTCCCCCGGCATCAAGTTTCCTTGTGGTACACATTGAACATCCCCATTCTTCTGCATTACCCACCAAGTGGATCCTGGTCCCTGGGCAAAAACTGTACCACGGAGAGGTTTGCCCTTTCCAGAAGCTGGAAGAACCCAAACTGCCTTTCCTAACATGTTCTTTACATGTACAACAGGGACTTTATCTCCCTCTACGGTATGTAGGGAACTGGATTGGTTAGGACCATCACGATTGATAGATCCTCTGGTATTGACCAACCAGGTGGCTTCTGCCAAATGCTTCTCCCAGTGCTTAAATGTTCCACCACCCAGTGCTTTTAGCATCGTTTTTAACAACCCATTGTATCGTTCAATTTTACCAGAGGCTGGTGCATGATAGGGAATATGGTAAATCCACTCGATACCATGATCTTTGGCCCAAGTATTTACAAGAGAATTTTTGAAATGAGTCCCATTATCTGACTCAATCCTTTCTGGGGTGCCATGTCGCCACAGGACTTGTTTCTCCAGACCCAGTATGGTGTTTCGGGCAGTAGCATGGGGTACTGCATATGTTTCAAGCCACCCAGTGGTTGCCTCCACCATAGTAAGCACATAATGCTTACCATTGCGAGATCGTGGCAAAGTGATATAATCAACCTGCCATGCCTCCCCATATTTGTACTTTTGCCATCGCCCTTCCTCCCACAGAGGTTTCATCCTCTTGGCTTGTTTGATGATGGCACATGTTTCACAGTTATGAATAACCTGTGCAATGGCATCCATAGTTAAGTCCACCCCTCGGTCTCTAGCCCATTTGTATGTTGCATCTCTCCCTTGATGACCTGAGGTCTCATGGGCCCACCGAGCCAGAAATAATTCACCCTTGTTCTGCCAGTCCAGGTCTATTTGAGCCACCTCAATTCTGGCTGCTCGGTCTACCTGATGGTTGTTTTGCTGTTCTTCAGTAGCCCGACTCTTGGGGACATGAGCATCTACATGGCGCACCTTTACAACTATAGTCTTTGTTCGGGCAGCAATGTCTTTCCACAGTTCAGCAGCCCAAATAGGTTTACCCCTTCTTTGCCAGTTATTTTGCTCCCACTGCTGTAACCACCCCCATAAGGCATTTGCCACCATCCATGAGTCAGTGTAGAGATAGAGCATTGGCCACCTCTCCCGTTCAGCAATATCTAAGGCCAGTTGGACAGCCTTTACCTCTGCAAATTGGCTTGATTCTCCTTTCCCTTCAGTGGCCTCTGCAACTTGTCGTGTGGGGCTCCACACAGCAGATTTCCATCTGCGATGCTTTCCCACAATACGACACGATCCATCTGTGAACAGGGCATATTTCTTTTCATTCTCTGGTAGTTCATTGTATGGTGGGGCTTCTTTAGCACGTGATACCTCTTCTCCTGGTGATGTTCCAAACTTTTTACCTTCAGGCCAGTCCATGATGACCTCTAGGATTCCTGGACGGCTGAGGTTCCCCATCCGTACTCGTTGTGTAATCAGTGCAATCCACTTACTCCAAGTGGCATCAGTAGCATGATGGGTGGAGGGAACCTTTCCTTTAAACATCCAGTTCAGCACTGGCAGTCGAGGTGCCAGAAGAAGCTGTGTTTCAGTACCGACTACTTCGGAAGCAGCCCGAACCCCCTCATATGCAGCTAAGATCTCCTTCTCAGTTGGAGTGTAGCCCTCTTCCGACCCCCTGTACGCCCGACTCCAGAATCCCAAGGGTCGGAAGAGGAAGGAATGGAAAAGAAGGCATTAGCAATGTCAATGGTGGCATACCATTTGGCCGCTTTTGACTCCAGTTCATACTGGAGTTCTAACATGTCCGGCACAGCAGCACTCAGAGGGGGTGTGACTTCATTCAGGCCACGGTAGTCCACCGTCAGCCTCCATTCTCCACTGGCTTTACGCACAGGCCATATGGGGCTGTTAAAAGGCGAGTGAGTTTTGCTGATCACTCCCTGGCTCTCTAGTTGACGAATTAACTTATGAATGGGGAGCAAAGAATCCCTGTTGGTGCGGTACTGACGTCTGTGCACCGTTTTTGTAGCAATCGGTACATGTTGCTCTTTTACTCGCAGCAGCCCCACAACAGATGGATCTTCTGACAGGCCAGGCAAAACAGACAGCTGCTTAATGTTGTCTATATCCACAGCAGCTATTCCAAAGGCCCATCGATACCCCTTAGGGTCCTTGAAATGTCCCCTTCTGAGATAATCAATACCTAGTATACATGGAGCCCCTGGGCCCGTCACAATAGGATGTTTTTGCCAGTCCTTACCAGTGAGGCTTATCTCAGCCTCCAACACAGTCAATTCTTGAGAGCCCCCGGTCACTCCAGAAATATGGATTAATTCTGTCCCTTGGTGACTCGAGGGCATCAGAGTGCACTGTGCACCAGTGTCCACCAGTGCCTTATATTTCAGTGGTTCTGATGTGCCAGGCCATCGAATCCACACAGTCCAATATACTCTATTATCCCTTTCCCCCTCCTGACTGAGGGCAGGGCCCCCCTATTCATTACCTGTGGTAACTGGAGCAACTGCACTGGTGGTTGATCTGCTTTGTAATTCTTTCACCCGGGCTCGTAGTACAGGAGTAGGTTGACCGTGCCACTTCCCCATGTCTTCTCCATGGTCACGCAGGTAATACCATAAGGCAATTCGCGGTGTATTACCCCTTACTTGAGCCGGAGAGCGTTTGCTTCTAACAGCTGAGATCTTTGATGGTGCACGTGAGAAGGAAGGTTCTTTGTCTTTAGTTAGGTGGGCTTGCATACATTTCATCATCTCCTTCATCTCCTTCATATCCTTCGCTAGACTTGTTTGATTATCCTGATCTTCATCAAGCGTTTCTGATACTGCTACAGGTTTGTCGCGGTTAATCAGTTGAGACACTTGCTCCGTCATTCTTGATATAGCAGCAACGGCAGCATGAATTGGGGACAGTAATTGTTCGTAGTTTTGGAGCGTAACAATTAATTCATAAACTAAGGGCGTTCTCTGTTGTTCGTTGAATCTGTCACACGCTGACATCAGTGTAGAGGCATATTTGTCCGGCGCTGTTGTCACGATTTTCTGCCATATCTCAGGCGTTGTCCTCACTCTTTCAGGGTCGCGGTTTTGGTGTGGGTCGTTAGGAACAAAGTCAGGGTCATACAACATTTCCACCACGCCTATTTCCCTCAAATACTGGATACCCTTTTCAACTGTATCCCATTTTTTCATTGCAATCTTCAAGCCATTTTTGAAGGGATACTTTTCCTTCACGGCTGTTAACACTCGTTCCCAGAGGGAGGCAGCTTCATCCGAGCATCGACTAATTCCTCTATCAATAGCTGGATCTCTGGCAATGGCACCTAGTTGGCGAGCTTCATTACCATCCAGAGACAAGCTATGGGCCCCACTGTCCCAACAGCGAACCAACCAGGAAACAAGAGTTTCATTCGGGCGCCGGGTAAACTCCTTTCTTGAACCTTGGATTTCAGTCATCTTTAGAGGCCGGCGAGTAGTAATAGAGACTTCCTCTTCATCACTCTCTTCTGCACGTCTCTTAGTTTTCCCTTTTGCCTTTCGCGATGGTGGTGGTCCTGAGGAGGGCCCCTCGCCTGGATCTTCCTCCACCTCCTCCTCCTCTTCTTCTCTTTTTCGTTCAAGACGCGAAGACACTCGTTTCCATTTCTTGCCCTCCACAGGAGCAACCGGTATTGTTACTGGTGTCTCCTGTGATTGATTAGATTTGACTTGGGGATTTTCCCCTTTAGCTTGAACCTCAGCTCGGAAACTCTCTCTCTCCAGAATGGTATTATATAGGGCACGGTAAGCACAAGCCAAACCCCAAATAAGTTGTACCTCCTTAGATTTATGTAAGCCGCATAGTCCCTGACTCAAATACTGGCTTAGTTTCTCAGGATCCCACAGGTGTTCAAGAGTAAAATCCCATGACACTGCGGGTCCCCATGCTTCTAAGACCTTTCCTAAACCTCTCCATATTCCCTGCCAGTCATCATTCTCTAGTTTTGGAGAAGACTCCTTATTACAAATGCGTATCACAAATGCATTCAGGAGAATTGATGACACGAACAACAACATGAGTATTAATTCAAGATTCGTAAAACGTTTGACAAACCGAGAAGAAAAACCGGAGACTGGTCTGAACATCGTGTTGTTTGTAAAATTAGCTATTCCATTTGGGATGTAACTGTTTGTGAAATTAGCCATTCCATTTGGGATGTAGCTGTTTGTGAAATTAGCCATTCCTTCCGGGATGTAAATGTCAAAGTTCAAATCATACCACATTGCAAATAAGTAAAACATAGGTGTCTCCATCAGTGCCCTTAGATAGTTATATACGGATGCAATTCCAAAACACACAAGTGTGAGATGGATTATTGGCCAGCAGGTTGTGACTAACACCATTGCTTTTAATCCTTTACCCAGCACCCCCACAATAACGAGGGGGTTCATCGCTAGTGCTTGCTAAAAGAGGGTTAATGAATTGAAGCTAACAAGAGGGGGAAAAAAAAAGGAAAAAAGGCACTACTCAGACTAAGTAATGCTCAAAGTTTACAAATATCCCAGAACACTGGCAGTACGCCTAATCTTTCAAGGTCAGGTTTTCCAGCACAGAAACCTGAACTACTGATAATGCTCCCTAACGAAGCTCTCTAAGAGCAGAGAGAAAAAAAGATTCGTTCAAAAAGCTAAAAAGCAGCGAGCCCCACGTTGGGCGCCAAAATCTGTCACGGAGTTGATCAGATCAATCCACGTCCGTGACAGGGGCGGCAGGCCTCTGCCCTCCCCCCCCACCCCAATCCCACAAAAATGGGAAGGAAGGAAGGGAGGAAAAGAACAGCGGCAACAATCTATGGAGGAAAACTTATTTTACTATAGTATTGGAATACAAGATAACACAATATATATACAATTTAATTGAAATTGAGATTAATAAATCAGACAAGATGAGAGAGAGAGAGAGTTCCCGGGACCGATTCAAACCTGAAAAGCTTGGAACGGCCAGGAAAGCACCCTCCTACACCCACTGCCATGCAGCAAGAGAGCGTCCCCCCCCACCCGGAAGGGCCAGATCCCGTGACTGCTGTAATGTACAGGGATAGGTAGCTGGGATTGGGGCAGTGACACTTTAATGCCCTGTGCACTACATGATGTTTTGATGTGGAATACTGAAAACATAAAAAAAACAAAAACAAAAACATAGAACCATGACACAGACACATCCTCCTTATGCTCAAGTAAGATGAGGGATTCGTCTGAAGTTGTAACTCTGAATCCGCTGCAGCCAACAACAAAGCCAGCATTCTCAATACAATGAGACTGATTAAGCCCTCCAAGGAATAAAGCCCTCCCAGGCATAAAGCGACCAATGTAATCTGCGACTGGAGATACAACAGCCTTGGTGGTGGGCAAAGCCACATTTCTGACACAGCAACCTCAGGGAAATCATCTCCATAAAGTTTTGCTTTGATTGCCATAACTTCAAAAACATTCCCTCACCTAAAGAAAATTACAAAATATGAGGAAATTGAAAATTACATCTAATGAACCAATTAAAATTTTAACTGGTAGGAAAATGTTTACAGTTTTCAGATGAAAAGTTTTCAGTTTGTTTATTTGTTTTCCAGGTGTTTTTGTTTTGGTTTTGTTTTGTTCTGTTTTGTTTTGTTTTTAATGATGATAAAGATAATGGTCTTGAATATCTTAAAGAATCATAGAACAGCCTGGGTTGAAAAGGACTACAAAGATCACCTAGTTTCAACCCCCCTGCTATGTGCAGGGTCACCAACCGTCAGACCAGGCTGCCCAGAGCCACATCCAGCCTGGCCTTGAATGCCTCCAGGGATGGGGCATCCACAACATCCTTGGGCAACCTGTTCCAGTGCATCACCACCCTCTGTGTAAAAAACTTCCTCCTAATATCTAACCTAAACCTCCCCTGTCTCAGTTTAAAACCCCCTTGTCTTATCACTATCCAGGCCCATAAGCAGCTATTTCCTCTCCTGTTTATATACTCCCTTCAAGTAGTGGAAGGCCACAATGAAAAAGTGAATCTGAAAAAATCTGAGAAAATGTCTCCTATGGAAGTTTTCAGTTAACCAAGCCCAGCAAAATTAATTTTCTACTAATAAGTGTTAGGAAATGAAGTTTATTGTCTGCATTTCAGATCATTAAAACTGCTGAAAGCCCCAGACTTTATATCTTTGTGTAACAACAATCCAAAGAACAAAACTTTTATTTGTTTTTCCATGTGACAAAAACAAAGCTCCTCAGACCAAAGCTGACTTTCGCCAGCTCTAGAATGGGATTGTTTCTGCCAGATTATATGCATGTGTATTGACATGCACTACTGTGCTGCCCTGCAGATTTGCAAAATTACTCTATGATTGTGAAGTCTGTGTCCCTCTTCAGACTTTGACAGCCTTCCCCATGCCCTCCAGCGCCCAGCTGCCACTCGCTTGCCTTGCAGTTGCTGTGATATTAATGATTTTCTTCAAAACTCCCACACAGCGATGATGCGAGCGCAAAAAACCTCAGCTTCCCCTTCTAAATCTGATGGGATTTTCTTGCCTGCAGAGATGGCAAACTGAAAAAGTTGACCCCTGTGTTCTGCCCACCAAAATAACTCCCAAGGTTTGCACAGCTTTTAAATGAAGCTCATAATATTATTCTATTTAGAAACACATTATCTTTTTTTAAAATATATATACAATTAGTGGCCCAGAGTTCTTTACTCTTTCTCTAAGTTGCTGATATTTGACTGATTGACTCAATTTTGAATTTTTGAAAAATTGATGACTCAATTTTTTGCAATACAAACTGCTTCTGTTTTTGTTTGGGATCAGTCTGATAACCTGGTACCATAAGATTTTTGTTTCTCTTGTTATTCAACAGTGTGGGAGGTGAGGCACGCACTTTTTCAGTGTGGACTCACACATATCTGACAGGCTGGACCTTGACTTTTCATCTGCAGATCCCCAGAATATTTTTGGAGCCATAACTTACCACACATATTAATAAATAGAAACCTCTGCCATCAGGAGAAGAAAAACAGTGAAAACATAAGAGAAGGGAGTTAAGAAGCTTTGTATACAAGCTTTTTTGTTAACCCTGTGAGTATGAACACTACGGTAACTTGCTGACCTTTGTATTATTTAAATATCTTCTTCTAAGTCTTCACTATCAAGCCTGGGCAGAGGTTAGCAGCCAGAGTAATTGGTTTCATTTGTTTCTTTTCTGCAGGCTGGACAAAGGCTGCGGTCTGTAAGTGACCACTTGAAAAGTTCTTTCATCAGACTGTAATTGCACAAAGAGGAAGCACGTTTCCCAACAGTACCAATGCACTGCATCATCACTGGACAGTGAAAAAAGTGACTTCAGTAGCTCTGATATTGAATGGCACTTAAGGCATGGAACAACAGTTTTAAACATCTCATCCTTCCCTACTGATGTAAAAAGGTAGGAAAAAAGAGTTAGGATCATCATTTGCAGAGAAAGGAAAAACCTCGGTTTCCTGCTGCAAGCCAGCAGAAAGCTTATTCTTGCCTAAGATATTATATCTTATATATCTTGCCTATTAATGCCTAGCACCATTTCATACGTTTTTGCTCACGGTAGGCTGAGCAGTGTGCCTGCTCGGTTGCCGCGGATGGGAGCTGCTAAGTGTTATGTCACACATAGCTGTGCAGCACGTCCTCACGCTGAGCTGGGAACTGATCCCATGGTCAGCCAGTGACATTTGCAGGGGCTGGGAGAAAGCGGGGGCAGGCTGATTCATTCTGTGTCTCCTCTTCCTCCTGCTTGTGTCTCCTGCTCAGGCTCCTTTCAGCCTTATTCATGAGCAGATCACTGAGGAAAGGGAATGGGGAAAGTTATTTGCATTCCAACATAACATTTAAAAGCGATAAATTACTGGCAGCTATAAACAACCTCCTCGCTGATGGCACTGCTCATAAAAATCTGTGTTTGTGTGTGTAGTGTATTAGCTTGTGTGCGTGCATATTCAGCCTTGTGGGATTTTTCTCAGTTATGACAACAATAGTAACTCTTCTGGGCTCCAAATGCAATGTCCAGTGCAACAAATATTTGTTGCTTTTTCTGGTTGATGTAGTTTTGACTCAAAAATGGTGTCACTGCCACTGCTTTGAGCTAAGTTTTGGCTTTCATCTAGGAGAGAAGATTGTGAAGTCCTTAGCTAAAAGCAGATGAACAGGAAAAACGTTTGAACTGCTGAAATGGACTGTAGTCAGGAAGATAAACATTCTGAGTTACTGTTGAAGAAGAGTATGCAGAGGGAAAAATGAAGGGGAGGATCAAAAACATAATGTTTGCTATGTGTTCACAGATAAGCTGACTACTGAGAGCTTGGGAGCTGGGCTTGCAAGTAGGAGGAAAACTACTCTGCTTCAATCAGTTCTGCAGTCCTAAAGATGCGACTCTGGGAGCAAACAGGGTGGTGATGATGGTCTGCACCTCTGCTGTGCAGTCTTCTGCGGTGGTGATGCATTTAAGGGGTGAGAGTAATGCAATGATCTTTCAGCCTGGATTCCTGGGATCCAGTGTTCCAGAGTCCTCAGCTCTAGCATTTATGAGGTTTGAAGGCTTTGACCACCCACTTTTGCAAGAAAAAGAGAGAGAGAAAAAAAAAAAAAAAAAAGGGAAAATCCCTTGCTGCTGTGCCAGACCGAGGCAGGAGCATTGTAGGCTGCCACTTTGTAACCAGATATGGAAATACAAGGGTATTGCCCTTGCCCCGGAGGTGCTTATTGCAGGAAACACTGTCTGGAAGAGTTCTCAGCTTGAGATTAGCTGTGACCTTGAATGATTTTTCCCACGTTTTCAGATGTGTGGATAAAATCATACGTAAGACCCTTCCAGGCCAAGTGTTGAGAAGAGAAATCCTGCTATTAGTAATGAAATCTCCAAGCATGATTAGTGTTTTCAGCTTCCAAATGACAAGGCCCTTCCTGCCTCCAGCTGATTTCAACTACAGTGTCACAGCTCCTCTGCTCCCAGGGCAGCTCCTGCATGAGAAGACCAAGCATGCATGGCAGGTCCTAGCATTTGCTTCCCAACTAATTGGCAAATTGCTAGTGAAAAGCCACCTGGGAGGCAGTGTCAGGGCTGAAATGATAAAGGAAGTCCACATCATGCTGAATTCCTCCTCAGGACAGGCAGGGCTGTCTTGCCACACAGGCTGTGCTGAGACCCAGCTAATTCACCTCATCACAAGCTGAAATTTGGCCTATCTCAGCTTAGAGCACTTTCAGGGCTAATTTCACTGGCAAGAAAAGATGTGATGTTCTTGTGCTGGCTACTGAGGATCCCCAGAGTAGTACAGTGTGCTCCAGGCTTGCTGTATCTTATGTCACCCTGGGTTTCTCCACCCTCCTGTGAACATTGGGGCTGCCTTCACTAGCACAGATTGTTCCTGAGATGCTCACATTCCTGTCGGATCTTGGGAGTACTTTTAAAGTGATTTAGAGAGGAGTAGGTTAGGTTGTGTGAAGATTTGGGATAACAGCATGACAGAAATGCAGGCTTGGGCACCGGGAATTTCCAAGAGGAAGCTGCAGTTCATAGAGAATTACCCTTCAGCTCTGCTGGTGGAGAACAGCAAATTCATGAAGCCAGTGGATTAAAGAAAGGAATGCTATGTGTGCTGGCAGATAAACACCTGCATATTAACCTGTGGTGTAGCGGGACGCTGCTGAGCTCTGCATGACCCCGCAGTGCTGAGTAGCACGGGCTGGTTGAAAACCCGAGCAGTAAGAGGCAGGCCTGGCAGCCCAGAGCTGGCTGGGAGGGACGAAGCAGGCCCGGCAGATCTCCATGAGAAGCGCCACTCACGCGGCAGGGAGAACGGAGCAGGCCGAGCCTGCGGTTCACATCTCTTTGTCAATGGCATCCAGCCCCTGGCCTTGGGAACTGACTGGCGGCAGTTTGCAAATGTATGTGCTTGGCTGGGAGCCTGCCGCTGCCTTTGTCCTCGCTGCGCAGGGGGGCTAATAGGGAAGCCGGAGCGTGTCATCTCCGACTGCCACGGCTTCCAAGCAGTAACATGATGGGCAACTTTTCAGACAATATCCAACATGAACATTCAAGGCTGAGCCTATTCTTCTTCTAGACACCGGTACTGACTGATTCCACATGCTGTTTTCCAGACTCGGTTGCTGTAACAAGCTAGAGCCATGAATGTGGATCATCACCTTCCTGCTGGAAAGGCCCAGGGAATCCAAAGGAGTTGAAACCATTTGTGTTGTTAAAAGCTCAGAGCTTCCAAACATTATGGATAATGCCGTAGATGCAAAGTAACAAGATATTTGTAAGGAGTTTCGTATTCATATAATAACATATACTCAATTATTTGTATTTAAATCATAGAATCGCTCAGGTTGGAAAAGACCCTAAAGACCATCAAGTCTAACTGCAACCTAATCATATCACCCTAAATCTAACAACATTCCACGAAGTCCCTGAGCACCACGTCCAAACCATTTTTAAACACATCCAGGGATGATGACTCAACAACCTCCCTGGGGAGCCTATTCCAGTGCTTAACAACCCTTTCTGTATAGAAGTTTCTCCTGATATCCAACCTAAACTTACCCTGGTGTAACTTGAGGCCACTTCCCCTTATCCTATCACCAGTGAGAAGAGGCCAACCCCACTCTCGCTGTAAGCACCTTTCAGATATTGAAAGAGAGCAATAAGGTCTCCCCTCAGCCTCCTTTTCCCCAGATTGAACAGTCCCAGTTCCTTCAGTCGCTCCTCCTTTTTTCATTCTGTCTTTCAAACCTTTTTCCTAGTGTGTAAAAGCAACGTGCATGGATGTGTATACATTTAAAGGAAAATTGTGCCGTGTTTGCACCATGTGTGAAGATGAATTAATTACACTGCAGAGACTGCTTGAGATGGGAGTGATTATGGCAGAGGAATTGTGCAGCATCTCTTCACTCATGGGGAAATTTGAATCAGGTGTTCATAATGAAAAATCTTCTGGAGCTTCTATTGAATTTGAAAATTGAAGTGAGAAATCTGGTTTTTCTGGAAAGAGCGGAGGATAATTCTTTTAAGATTTGCTAATGGGCTAAGACAATGAATAGAGAGGCCTCGTTCCCCTTATATTTGATAATGGATCCCTCTAGTTCAAGGTAGTCAAGCTTCAGTGTTGCTGCTGCCTGCCACTATCCTCTCTTCTCTTCCAAAGCATGAGGTGGTGGATTGGATGTTGTGGAGCAAGGCAAATGGAAACCATCATAAAGAAACAGCATGGGCTGGACACTTATGAATTGAGAATTGAGAATTACATCTAGTCTGACGAGTGCATGACAGCCTTGATTGACCTATACTGGTGATGGTCCTGTTTTGAGTGGGAGATTGGATGAAATGACCTCTGGGAATTCCTTAAAACCAGCACGGTTCCAATCCAGGAGTCCTGACCTGGCAGAAGCATGTGTTGCCTATGTTTGCAGTAGGGTACAACTCTCCTAAAATTATGCTTGGAAATTCTGCTGAATTTGGTGCTCTCTTACTGTTTTCCTATTGCTAAAACCATCTCAGGACAGCTCAGTTCTAATGCTCAGTCAGCTGGGAAGGCTTTCCCTAGGTCTGTCCTTCAGCTTCCAAAAATGTTTGCAGAGGAAGTGGCAATGGAGAAAAGCCTGAATTTCAAAATTGCTTCTTTAGAAAAATAAAGGTTGCAATGTCATACCTGTGCCTGTAAGTGCTGTCAGGTGACTGTGAAAGGACAGACATTTTTTGGTGCTCCAGTTACAACTCTAATTTCCTTTGCCAGAAGAACAGTAGTGGTAACATTTGATTTGCAAATCTGGCATACAGGCACCAGCCCAGTTGAAAACAATCAACAGAAGCCATTTCCTCTGTGCAAGTAAATATATTGACATGTGTTGACAATAAACTGGTTTTGTGTACTTTTGGAAAGGCAGACAGCATCCCATGTTTTAACTGCTTAGCTCCTCTAAAAGACTATACAGGACAATATCTTTCACAGGCTATAGAAGGCTGTTCATCTTTCGTATCTCTGGAGTAGTTACGATTTCCTCTAATTACAATAATATGGTTTTTATAGAATATTCATGCTATATTGAGCACGACAATAATATGTAAAAATAATATGCATAAAGCATATGCTTTAAGATATGTGACGAAGTTAGGATTGTTAAATAATATTTTTTTAACCTGTTACTTCCAGTTAAAATACGTAAATTGTTAGTAACGGTTTGGAAACCGTTTGTCAACTTTGTTTTAAGGCATACATTTCTTGCTGAATGAATAAACAGCAAAACTATCCTTTTACTATTGTCAACAATTAGAAATAAGAGACTTCGTAAAAACTGAGACTCCAACTCAGTGAGACCCTAAATTCAGTTTCACCACTTTTGCTTTGATACCCACTCATGTGTGGGCAGGCACAGGAGTGATCCATGAGTACAAAGTACCTGTTTCACCCAAACCTCCTGACAGGGAGGGCTCCTGCAGTGCTATTCCTATCACCTTCCTTGGGCTCCTTTTATAGTTTTGAGGAATCATCAAATTAGGTGCAGACTTGTCTGATAGATTTAGGAAGCAGACCCTGAGAATGTAGCTTGTGTGTAGTGGGTTTTCTGGCACAGAGCAGAACAAGGAAAGGTTTCTGGATCTTGCCCAGGTCTCTGCTGGAGCTTCTTCACAGGCCACATGGCACTGCAAAAGAAGCAGAGGCTGCAGACCCTTCCACTACCATTCACCTGTCAGCATGAGGTTGTGGCAGCACATCTATATTAAACAGAAATTGGAACAAATCCCTTAAATAGCTCTTCCTTGTAGGGCCGTTGTACCCATGTGCCTTTGGGTTCCCAACTGCTTAGATGGAGGAAGAATAGCAGTGATTTTTGCAAAGAGTTACATCTTTGTAACTGAAGTGCTCACTTCTGGTTTGGGGCAGTATTTAAAGGCCAGGGAAGCAGACTGAGCATGTGTGTTATCTGAGATGGGGAGTCTCTCTGCAGAAAACGAGCCATCCCAGCTCCATAGTGATCATTAGCAGTTTCCTGACAAGCAGATTTTCCAGTACCTCCCAGCATCTCACTCCAGCTCTCATCATCACTGCAGCTTTGTCAGGGGCTCTTTTCTGAGGCAGTGTGGTGGTATTTCCCTCTTCTCGGCTCCAAAGAATGGAAAAATTACTCAGTACGATGAAATAGGCTTTTATCCACCTTCGCTTTTGAAGACTTATGCTGTTTTAGAACATGAACGTTATAACCCCCTAGTGAAATCTTCACTTGCAAAAAGATGCAGTCCTGGGATAGTTGCTCGCCGCAGTTGTCAGTGCCTGGCAAAGAGCAATGCGTGCAGTGCTGCTGCGCTTGGATGCACTTGCAGAGACAAAGACCGGGTGTCAGCCTCTGCCTGGGAAGTCAGAGACTTGGTGGCTCTTGTGCTGGAGAGATGAGTTTAAATAAAAACAGCATTTTCAAAGCAGGCTCTTCATAAAGAGATCAGCATCGTGGCAGCTAATGACACTACTGCACACAGGGTTAGCAGTGACACACTGACACTTTACTAAGAATTTTTCTCATTTCCTTAATTGCTGTTAACATAAGCAGCCAAATCTGCACCCGTTGTAATTGCATTCATGCCATTATCTGCTAGTATTGCCTGGAAATGTTTGTGGATAGAAACAGACTCTGAGTGTGTGGGCAGGCTATTTGCTAAAGGCATTAATTTACTAATTAATGAAGTGCCAATGCACCTATTTAGCACTACTTCGCTAAAACTGCTTCCTGGGCTTCAGCTGCTTGAGGTCGAGGATGCTGCTAACACCACGCTGAACTGCCACACAAAGCTGCAGTGAGCCACTCTGCATTGCTTTCTTGGAGCAATGGCTTCGCATGAGCTGCTGCCCTTGGGAGACTGAGAGGCATCTCCGTAGCACCAGAATATAAAGAATATCTCATGTTCAAAAATTTGGATTCACATCATTTTCAGCTGTGTCTTACAATTTAGTTAGAACAGGTGTTGTGCAGCACAACTGAGTCTCTTCCCCTCCTTTTTAGATCATTTCAGTCAAAATTTGCACGGTTTTACACTGAAGTTTTTGAAGAGTAAAATTGAAACAGGAAATATTTCCATTTTTGTGAAGGAGTTTCAGGTAACGGTATGGCTGTGGATAAAGGTAGGAAAAACCTTACAGAAAATATTTCAGCTCTCACTGTTTGCACTTTGTTGTGTCTAAAAAGGAAAATACTTACTGAAAAAGACATTTTTCTTTTGCCAGCACCCTCACATTTCAGAATCGTCATTCAAATTAGTTGTAGAAAAAGCAGAAATTGAGCTGCCTCTCATTTCAAGATGCCTGAGAACATGTTCCTTGGTGAGCAGAAAAAAGAAAAAAAAAGTGCCTTTGAAGCCCCAAGCTGTGGGGAATAATGGTACCGCGTCTCTCTAAGGGTCTGCCCCAGAGATTACACTTTAATTTAGGATAGCTTTGCAGGGCATACTCCCTCTCATCTCCCTGGGTACCTCCTTAAAAACACCCATTTTATCTCATTTACTGCCCTGTGCAAATTGCCGTGCACTCGGTGAAGGCACTTCTCCGCAGTCCTGACCTGCGGCAGCAGAAGAGCGCGGTGCGATCAGCCTGCTTACAAACAGGGAGCAGGGTGCAAGCAGTTTGGGTCAGCATCTGCACACTTTCTGCTCGTGTTCAGATGGAAAGCACTTGATGAAATACATAATTTGCCCGGATGCATTCAGAGTATTTGTGCATTATTTTCGCTTGCATTTGCCATTATAATCATCAGTTTAAATGTTGTATGTTTCGTTGAGAAAGCCCAGTTAGAATCATTTAAAATATTTCTCTTCTTTGCTGTGGAGCTAAGGGGCAAAATTATCTCCTGGATGTACAGAGAACATAGCAGAGGTAGGTATGGTAAACCCAGAGCACAACAGCCATTGCAGGCAAGTAGAAATCCCATTATTTTTGCAAAAAGAAACAGAGCTTTTAATAGAAATTCAATTCTAATTTCCTCATCGCACTTATTAAACAAATAAACATGCTAATAACAACAGATTGGGTCAGAATTCAGCACAGACTTGTTTTTATTAATCAAACAGACAAAGTAAGTCATACATTTGTATTTCTCTAAGCATCTAACTTTCCGAAGTTACATTTGCAGTTGCTTTAGTCCCTTTGGCAGACACATTAAATGTTACCCATGCTCCATCTCAAATGATGCAAATGACTTTGCAGAGCTATTTGCAAAGCACACGAAACATTGCAAGTGATGCAGTGTTATCTGCGTGCGGCTTTACTGTGAATATGATTGAATTCTTTGCAGCACAAGAAACAACTAGTTATTTTACTGTGCCAAAAGATTG